GTTTTAAATTATGACATAAAAACACAAGATGCAAAACTCAACAACAACAAAAACACAGACAAAAATACAAAACACAATCAGAGGATACATGGCAAATCAGAAAAAAAATTGCATCTTATATTAACAAACTAAATAGTGACCCTAAGGGCAGAAGAGAACTGTCCCCTAGTGTTTCCATGGCTGTATAGCTATGGAAGCAGAAGGCCACATCTTTCTCCCAGGGAGCCCTGGTGGTTTCAAACTGCCGACCTTCTGGCTAGCAGTACAATGTGTAATCCACTGTGCTACCAGGGCTCCAAATCATGTTCACCTTTTATTTGCAAAATAAAGAGCTAAGACTTTGTATTCAGTGTCATAAGTTGTACGTATTCAACTTTTTAGTAAACTAGGAGATTTTGTAAAGCTAGTTTCAATATGTAGACAAGAATGCTGTAATCCTACAAAAGCGGAATAAACATGTGATAAGCACATGCCAAAGGAATCTTGAAAAAAAATCTTCTAGAAGATTGTTTTCTCCAACCACAGTAAAATAAAACATAGGAATCAATAGATAAAAGAGAAATCTACAAATATTTGGAAGCTAAACAGCATACATATAAATAATTCATGAGCCAAAAAGGAAGCCCTGAGAGAAATTAAATATACACCTATGTATGTGTGTGAGATACATACCTTTTTTATCTGTATTTCTTCGTAGCAGTTTGTCCACCTGAGAAATGGCCTCTTCCCAGCAATTGTTGCTTGCTTGTACATGAGGCTGAAGCAACTTCAATTTCTGTTCTAGGATTTGGTAAGACTCTGACACTAGTTCTTGTGTCTCTTTAGTACAAACAAGTTTTTCAAGTTCATCTTCAAGAATGATTACTCTGAGCGGAAGGAAAACGAAAAAAGATTTCTAAAATATGAAAGGATACTGAGTTAGTTAATTGTGCCAGCCTGGCCGATAAGCACATGTGGGGCTAATTGAAAGGCGGAGGGATAAATGGGTGGTGAGCCTCGCCTTTCTAGTTCTCTGGTCTCTTGTTTTGTGATGGTTGCACCGGG